GCTTTACACAATTGATGTGTGTATGGATTGTGATAAGAGTTGTATGAGCCCCTAATAAAATGATGAACACAAAAAAAATGCATTTCTCTTGGTAAACCTCATTTTTGCCCTTAAAGACCTTCCATTGATTGACTGTGGCCCACCCACATTATGGAGAGTGATTTTGCTCTTTACTTGTGGTCTACTGATTTAAATGCTAATTACATGTAAATACCTTCATAGTAACATCTAGGCTAGTGTTAGATAAAACATCAGGGCACCATAGCCCAGCCAAGTTGACACATAAAATTAACCGCCACAAGGCTTCTTCTCTTTGACAGATAGATATCAAGGGGGGAAGAGGAGGTTTGAAAAATTCATGGAAAATTTCCATTATATTCTCATTCCAATTTTCCACCAACTTGTTGAAGCCCCCTCAGGTAACAGAAAATACACATGCATTAAGGTTGAATAGTATTGGTTAGAAATCTAATTCCACTTCTTGTTAACTGTGTGTCCATAGCAATTTATTTGATATTTCTGCATTTGCTATTCACCATAGGGTGTTGGCAAGGCCTGAAGAGACAATAGGATGCAACTTAACTAACAGGCATTGCATTCTTTCCCTGTAACATCTTGCTCTGAGGCCTCCACTCCTTCTGACTTTCTGAAACTGAAAACTCCCTAGCAAGGGAGACGGTAAGTTCAAGACCAAGGATGAAACCAAAGCCCAACTTGAGATTCACATTTCCCTAGAGCCCTTAGGCCAATAGAAAGGCTTAGCAGCATCTGTAAGTCTTTAAAAGGAGTTAAATCAGTCAAGAACGTTGATCATCCTTTTTATAGTTAACCAGATGAAACCAAGAGAAATGTCAGATTAATCTCTATGATTTATAATTTGAGTTAAATTTACATATGCAGCATTTTAAAAGGATGATAAAATATCAGGACAAAATTACAGTATTAAGATCAGAAGATGAAACCTGTCACAATATAAAATGTTGCCACTGCGGATATTAATTATCATAATAATTTAGGATCCCTTCCATGGTAATAGGGGAAATAGAGGCAACGCACTTAACCCTTCTATGTCCACATGATAAGATTCATTAATACTGTTCCTTTAAACATGTTTTGATAATTAACGTGAGCTGTTATTCTTTTGCATCCTCAAAAAAGAAGAATTAACGTGGATTGATCTGTATCTCTTTAACAGGGACAAGTGATCCATACGTGAAGTTTAAAATTGGAGGAAAAGAAGTTTTTAGAAGTAAAATAATACACAAGAACCTCAACCCTGTGTGGGAGGAGAAAGCTTACATTCTCGTTGACCATCTTAGGGAGCCACTGTACATAAAGGTGAGCCACGTATTTGTTATGTCAGGATATGGGGTCTGACATGGAAACCCCTCTTTAATGTTCTGGGTTTTGTTTTTAAATCAGTTCCTTTTATCTGAAGATCTGTTTGTGCATGTTTACCAGAGATATATTCTGTTAAACATCTCCAATGTCAGGAAGATGATCAAAATGCAATTGAGGATGACGTTAGTGGGAAGAGTATTCTTCAGGGCAGTTCCACTACCTGTCACGTAGAAAGATTATGATGCTGTTAACAGATCTCATGCACCTTGGCAACATACGGAAACAAGTTTCTTTAATTTCAGGCACAAAGGAGGGTTTACACAGATTTCCACTTTTTGGTTTAAGAATAAAAACAAGGGATCGACCATGCATGGAAAGGCAACATTCCTGTCTCTAAGAGCAATGATGGGTTCTATCAGAGGTTACTGTTGGACTGCTAGTCACAAGATCAGCAGTTCGAGCCCACCCCCCACTCCATAGGGAAAACGGTGAGGCTTTCTGCTCCCACAAAGACTTACAGCGTCCAAAATCCACAGGGGGCAGTTCTACTCTGTCCATGGGTCTCTATGAGTCAAAATTGACCCTAGGCTAGTGAGAATGAGAGTGGTTATGTTACCATTTTAGATAGGTAACATAAAAAATGAAAATTTAAGAACTGTTCATACTTTTTTCATGTGTGCTTTCACTTTAACGCATATCTTTAGCTAATTCTATACTTTCTGCTCCTATGTTCTGGTCCATAACCAAACCATATTTACTTTAAAAAAAAAACTTATTGTGAATTGGGGTCAAGGTTTACCGAGAAGGTCAGGTTTCCATTCAACAATTCATACACATTGTGTTTCATGCCATTGGTTGCGATTCCTGCAATGCAACATCCCTTTCCCACGTTCATGCTTTCATTTTTTCTCTTAAGGGAGTCAAAAGAAGTTCAAATAGTCCATTACGGCCTCTATTACCATCAGTTTTCCTTTCCTCTCCTGGACTCAATGTAAAGACTTTCCTATAGATCTCTATGTTTACTGACTTGAGAGATACTATTCCAAGACAGAACCATGTGGATTCCCAATCTATAAATGGGTACAAGTGAATTTCCAAAAATTATAGTAGACATGGGTAGAGTCCTTTATACTCAAGAGTAAGTATTAATTTACATATAAATTTAAATGCATGTTTCAAAATATATTTCTAAGGAAATACAGGTTGTGTATATAACACAATCCTGTTGCCTTTAGCTCTTGCAAGCCTCTGTTGTCTTTCCATGCTGTATTAGTCTAGGTACTTTAGAGAAACAAATCCACAGCAACTCGTGTATGAGAGTTTTATGTAAAGAAAGTGTGCATCACGAAAACATCCCAACCCAATGCTGCCCAAGCCCACAAGTCCAACATTAACACAACACCAGTTCACAAAGCCCTCTACCTCACAAAACAGAGGCAATGATGCTGACTGCAGGAGGAAAGCTGAGTCAGTGAATGAATAAGCATCTCAGCACTAGCAGGGGTCTCCACACTGCTGCTCCAGCACCCAGGGCTGCATCGGGATAGGTCCATGTGGCTTCTCCTTGGGGATGTCTTGTAGGAAGTCAATCTTGCAAGCTGAAACAGGGAACTGCTAAGGCAGCTGCACCTGGTGCAACCATCACAAAGCAAGAGACCCGAGAACTAGAAAGGCGAGGCTCACCACCCATTTATCCCTCTGCCTTTCAATTAGCCCCACATGTGATTATCGGCCAGGTTGGCACAATTAACTAACTCACATGCCACAATATGTTTTTGTCAATTTCTTTGCATTATCTTTGTTTCTAGGCTTTGTCAAATATTTAAGATCTACAGTGTTGCATTGCCCCAAGAATAAAGTTCAGCAGGGTTAAGAAAGAGTGGGGGTGGAAGCAGGAAGCACAGGAGGAAATGGGATCAGTGAGGTTCCATTGAGGGAGCTACAATGAATTAGATGGGGAAACTGTGTATGAATTGTTAAGTGCAAAATGGATAGTCTACTCTGTAAATGTTTACATAGTTCACAATCAATGAAACATTTTCTTTCAGAAAAAAAATGCTTGTATTTGAGAGAGCCCCAAAGTTCATTGCCACGGAGTCAATTCTGACTCGCAGTGACTCTATGTGACAAGTAGATCTGTTCCTATGGGCTTCTGAAACTGCACCTCCGTACAGGAGTAGGTACCCTCTTCTTTCTCCCATAGGGTGGCAGGTGGTTTTGAACTGCTGACCCTGTGATGAGCAACACAACTCATCGAGGCAGTGACAGTCTTGGACAAAAGCCTTAGTTAAGGACAAACGAACAAAAACCCCAGGAGAGGAGAGAGGATCAAAATGCTTTTATTCAGAAGATGATAAACAGTGAATTATAAAGGATTTGATTCCTTTTTTCCATTTCTACAAGAGGGAGAACTTGTTACATTAAATATTCATTCTACTCACCTCTCAGCTACGAGTACAAGCAAATAAGGATAATTCCTTATATTTGTTCATTTTTTTATACTTTTAAACTGCTTTCACATATTTTACTTGATTTTCCACTTTCAGTGACGTACACAGGCTGACTTTAAGGACTGTCTCTCTTGTAAGTTTTACGTTTTCCAGGTCCTTCTTATGCATGTTTCACCGGGCGTTGGGTGTGCCAAACCAGCTCCGTTCCTAAAGGAGATACACTGGTGGGAAAGATAGCTTATGTTACTAGAATTTCATGAAAATTGCTTCATTTTTTATTGTCACTGTATCGCCCTGTGTGACTGACGTACTTGATTTTGATATGATCCCATACTCCGTGAGAGGAAATTAATCATCTTTCCTGAAAGATTGGTTAGAACTAACTGATTCTATTGTGGCAGGTAATATCAAAATGCATCTGACTAGATAGTCAGAAAATATTAAATGGACAAACTTCTTGACTATAGTTAAAGAGTTCATGTGTGCCCTTATCGTGTGATTTCTATCATGTAAACATTGCCAAGGGAAAACAAAATTCAGTGCTTAGCCTAGGCAATAAAATCGCATTAGAGTTACATTACTGTACAATTTTCAGTAAAAGTAGATTTTCAGTGAAAATATTTCTTTTTCCTATTTTGTTCATTTTAAAATATGATTTACAAAATAAATCAGAATATGCTTTCCAATCAGTTGGGATTATTCTAGCCTTTTAATTTTAATGGGTAAGCATATTCCTTCAGCTCCAAAGAACATCATAATGGGCATGAGGAAAGCTGGGTTTGAGCGATGGGCTGTGGAAATATGTATCATAAAGTAGAAGAAGTCAGTCGAGAGTTAAACAAGCAGCACACCAACTCCTCACCTCAACATGGTTACGTTCCAAAGAGCAGGCCAATGTACAAAAGCAAGGTTATCAGAGTTAGTTACGGAAGTGTCGGGGGCACAGTAGAGGGAGCTGATGATACCCCCCTCCATAGCTCTCTGCATTGTTCACTGCCTGTTAGGTGCCCCTGGCAAATCTTGGGCTGGGGGTGGGAATGGTGTGGCAGACCCTCTTGTGGTTGGGTGATGCCTGCTCTCCACTGCCCGTCTGCCCTGGGGGAGAACACTCCTTGTCCTCTATAGGCTGCTTCCCAGCTCCCTTGCTGAGTGGGACCTCACCTGTTCTCTATCTACCACCTGCAAAGATGTGGACCCTGTTACCCTTCATCTGCCCAGCCCCGAAGCTCCGTTAAGCCCTCCCCTCCCTTTTTGCTCCCCCACCGCAAACTGCTCTGATACCATCAGGACTTTGCCTGAACTTCTTCAACCCACCTGCCGCTTTGCTTCATCCACGTCACCCCATACCCTCCTAAGCCTAAATGAGAACAGGTACAGTGTCGCCAGCCAGCTACTGTCCCTCATGTGGCCCAGTTGCCTTTGGGCCTTCTGATGTATTGTTCAGGAGGGTCCACAGAGGGTGGTCTGGAGGCTGCTGAAAACCCATCTGGGATCCAGACTACTGGAGGTCCCACTTGAGAATATTGTCAAAACTGTTGTAAAGGAGAACTGTTGGACAACATGGACACGGATTAAGTGCACTTTAGTTTATACCAAGCCTGGGATCGTGCTGCATAGCCTACATGATAGTCTAGGGTTGTTATTGTTGTTAGGTGGCACGGGGTTGGTTCCTACTCAGCGCCCCTATGTACAATACAACTAAACACCACCCGGCTCTGTGCCACCTTCACAACTGTTCTCGGGTCCGAGCCCTTGTGGCAATCCCACTTATTGAGAGGGTTCCTCTTTCCACTGCCTGTCTACTTTACAAAGCATGCTGTCCTTTTCCAGGGGATGCTCTCTTCTGATAACACGTCCAAACTACAAGAGACAAAATCTTGCATTGTTGCATCTCAGGAGCATTCTGGCTATACTTTGTCCAAGCCAGATTGGCTTGTATTGTAGCAGTCCATGGCAGGGCCAATGACCTTCACTAGCATCATATTTCAAATACATCAATTCTTCTTCAGACTGCCTTTTAATGTCAACTTTCACATGCATATGAAGTCTGTGAAAATACCGCAGTTCGAGTCTGGCACAGCTTGGTCCTCAAAGTAGCATCCTTGCTTTTCAACACTTTATGGAGGTCTTGTGCAGCAGACTTGCCAAAGTCAATGTGTCTTTTGATCTCTTGACTGTTGCTTCCATGAGTATTGATGGTGGATCCAAGTGAGACAAACTCCTTGACAACTTTTCTCTATGTATCATGTTACTTTTTTTGTCCAGTTGTGAGGATTTGTGTCTTCTCTACCGTGAGTTATATTCATACTGAAGGCTGGAATTCTTGATCAGTAAGTGCTTCAAGTTCTCCTCACTTTCAGCAAGCAAGGTTGTGTTCTGCATATCACAGGTTGTTCAGAAGCCTTCCTCCACTTCCGATGCCGCATTCTTCTTTGTATAATCCAGCTTCTCTGATGAGTTTCACCACACGCCGATGAACACGTGTGGTGAGAGGACACAATCCTGATGCACACCTTTCCTGATTAAACCATGCAGTGCTCCCAAGCC